AAAGGACAGCTTTTTACATTATGTTAAAAGTAACTACTGGTCAGATTCATATATTTGTTGAGACAGGCTCTTCTTATTTTAAAAAAATTACTAGAGGAAAGAAGCGTTTGCTTGAAGTTTTGCTAATGCTTCTTTGCTATCAAGCAAAATTTTATGATGTAACCCGAAATTACCTATTGCTTGAGTCGTATTTCATCGATGTTTGGCGACCACGTTTTATCGTATTAACTATGGGTAAATTTTAAATTTCTCCATTGGGTCGAAGAAGAGAAAAACTTATAAGATGTTCCGACAGTCTCACTCCTTTTTCCAAAATCTTTTTTTTATATGCAAATGAAGGCACCAAGCAAAACACCAAAATCTCTACTGAAATCGCTTCAATAAACGATACTGTGAGGGGTGCGATACGAAAAATGCGTAGACACGAAATTACCAGAATACATAAATTTCTAGTAACATAACGAAATCTTGCGAAAATTAGTATTTGGGAGAATTTAGGACTGCTTTTGCATACATGAAGAAAAACAGCGTTTGTGTAGGAAAAGCGGCTGCATGACGAAACCATCGTTACCTCTCACGGCAGCCGCGGACAATAAATCACCAACTCCGGAGGACGTATGCTTTAGGATCACAAATTCGCTAGACCACTGGTCAGATCAACTCCTCGCTTGGCTCGGGATGTGAGCCCATACCTTTCACATTTACCTTACATATATGGTATATTTATTACACGGAAGCTGTTAGTTGCTTCTTTGTAATAAATATAATCCTCCTTTGTTCTGCCTTGTATCTTGCTGGCCACCGGATCGTGACGTTCAAAGGGAGGCGCCTATAGTTGAGTTGGGTGAAACAGAAGTCATAGTCATCTCTTCCTTATCATCTCAGTACCATAATTCAATCTAATTATCACCCATTCGCCGAATTATCTTACAGTTTGTGTACCCACAGTAATCGCGACCCTATGATAGCTTTGACGAGAGACATTGCAAAAGGTTCAGCAGACAAGGACCAGTTGACATGTTTAATATCCTTTTCTGATTCTATCTAGCAGAAAGCAGCCAGCAGATATTTCTCTATAATATACTTTACGACTTTACTTTGCACAAATACTAATACATGGATCTGATCCTTCCGCATTTCGCAATGCGTTGAAAAGCGAGGGCTAACGGGTGGAGGACTATTTATCACCGATAGGCTCCGCCCTCGCGGGCTACTAATCCTGTTCAAGATTGTTA